GAGAGAGAGAGAGAGAGAGAGAGAGAGGTCCTGAAGGATTCGTGGTGAGTGAGAGTACATACACGAGGGTTTCTCGGGTGAAAATGTGGTGCACTTACCCCGCGACTGCGGCATATCCTGCGACCGGTTGTGCCGCAGCTGCAGCTGCGCCGTATGCGCGCGCAGCCACCGCCGTGTAGGTTGCTGCAGCTGCGTATGTAGCCTGCTGTGCCGTTGATAGTGGTGTCTTCAACAATGGTGAGGCTGCGGCTGGGGGGGGGGGGGGGGATGCAAGGCTCAAGCAAGCTCGAAAACAGACAGAGAGGATGATCTCAGCGAGAAACGATACTAATACGATCGTTCCTAGAGGCTCGTGTCGTTGCATACAGAAAACGTAGCTTTCTAATCTGTAGTTCTAAATGGAAAATGTCAATTGCGGCTGGAAAAGAGACATAAAACAAAAGGAATGGTAGGAAAATGTACTCAATTACAGCCATTGTCTATAAAACTGCAAATACTTCTACAATATATCCAATAAACACAAATAGAAACTTTAAATAAATGCACTCTTTTCCAATCGTACCCTCAATTGATCAATGTCTACTAGATGCGGAAGAGAAGTATACAAAAAGAATTTTAATTAGAAATAATTTAAATATCAGATATACATCAATAGAACACAACTATGAATGGTTACATCAGCATGTGTAATTTTGTTATGCAATAAATAAATATTTTAAGATGTTTAGGGATGATTAGGATTATATCAATTATAATTTTAACATTAACAGAATAACTATGACCAATTTCTTCGCAATGGCTCTGAAAAATTTTTTTATTACTGCGAACATATTTTACACTCTTATTAAATTTTATTATATATTTTTAAGAGTTAATATTCTAAAATTTGATTCATATTTATTTTATAAAATAAAATTTATTTCATATTCATTTTAAGTCTCGAAAGTAATAAACTGTCGGAATAACTGAAAATATACTAATTTTGTTTGCTAACGTTTTCTATGTGCAATTACTACGTGAAACGCATCAGCGTTGTTCGTTGCGACATCAATAGAACAGCGAGATGCAACAGCCAAGTGACATTTTCAGGCTTGAATATATACCAGTTAAAAAATATTGTCGAAATCCCTTGCATCACATTTCTCTCGCTGTTTTAAAAATGTCAGTGCATGGATATTCAAACATTTCGAGCATATATAACTAACTGTGACACTCGTAGTTGTATCTTATACAAGCTTCGAGAGGGATATTTTATTTACAAGGAACATGATCTGGTCGAAACTGATGATATTCAATATTTCTTTATGACATCAAGCGGCTATATTATCGAATATTTTGCGATAATGCAAACATTCCACTTTCTAATTATGAATCCTAAAATACAAAAACATATTAAAAATAAAAATTTTTCATCATTTACTAATTTCGAAACTATTTTTCGTACACATTGAAATGTCGAATGGAAAAATTATATTTCTAAATTTTTTCGACACAAATATTTTTTATGTTCCATATTAAATAATTTGGATAAAAAAAAACGAATATATAAATGGAGATATAATAAAAAAATTTCATGCAACATGAAGATTCATGAAAGTAGCCACGGTGCAAGATAAAAGATTTGAAAACTACAAATATAATATGAAATAGAAAAGAATTGGGATGACGAATTATCGGGCTCCTTTTTTTTCAACCTCGATGTAAGCCTGACAGATGGAAAGGAAACTATTCTAAATGTCTTCCAAAATGATCTCGAAAATACTTTTGCCTAAGTAACTCAGAGTAGAATGAAGTTTCAATAATGAAAGCTCGTAGAGACGAGCAAAAAGTGTTAAGAAAATTCCTGATACTTGTAGTATAACAATAAATAATCATTTTCTCTCTGGCGTGTCGACCATGTTGTTGTAGCTATTATGCCTGAGGTAATAAGTAAACTTGCTCGAGTGAGTCTCACAAAAGGATCGTCTATAGTATTTGGAAATACCTACGATGTTTAAACGGCGAACTCCACAAATGTTTACACGCAGCATCGAAATCTCGCTCGATGCACCAGGGGATTTATGCCCGATGAAGATAGGGCAGTTGAGAGCGCACTCACTGGCGCCAGGATGATAGCACCTACGTGCATGCATCTAGGATAGTGCAATTCGATACGCCGACGTATATATGTATCCTATTACGCGATAACGTAACACTAGCGCACTCAGATACTTGCGATTTCCATGACATTACCATTCGCGCGTTTGACCTAAACCTGAATGCAGTTTGCTCGAATACTATCGTGACAAGAGTGCTCCTAAAGCCTGGGAGAATTAAGTCCTGTTTTAAGCTCAATTGTTCGGACCACATCGTTAATTTATTGTAACATTTTATACGTAATTTTGTGCAATATTACAGAAGACACGTGTTAGGTGTATTATTTTATAAATAATATTTATGCGGTAATTATAGCCGAGTATTACATATGTACATTACATATATTATTAATAAATAATGAATAAAATAATCATATATAATAACAAAGTTACATCTACATTGTACTATATGAATGATAAAATTTCTGTCTTTTTATAGATTTTAATTAAATATATGACTATATATTTTACAATAAAAATAAGATTAAAGAGTTATTAATAAAAAAAAATCGGTGTGTGTGTGCGTGTGTGCGCACGTGTGTGGGGACATACTTACTAATAAATCTGTATTCTATGTAAATTATTCCAGGTAATTGCTAACGTATTATGTATAATTTAATGTTAACTATTCGACGAAACTTCAGTTAAATATTAAATAGATGAATTATCATTTTATTACTTCAATATTAACACAAAGAACGACGACGCAAAAGGAATATTACAGTACTGCCAGTCATAATTTCGAAACGTCGAGCATTATTATACTGTCCGTACTAATAAGTAAAATCCGTTATCTCGTTATTAATAAAAGAAAAAGACGCGAAATATATTCCAGAAATTTGTAGATATTAAATCTAGGTAATTGCAGTTGTAAAGGAATATCACAATTCAAGCATTGTCCATCGCTCGCGCTAATCATAAATTATTGCAAGCTTAATAAAGAATCGATAATATAAAAAAAAGTCCAACAACAATTTTAAAACATGTTAACCTACAATTCGTTGCAAAATTTGGAATCAATTTTTACCGAGTAAAAATATCAAAGAGCTATAAGTAATCAAATTAAAAGCTTTCAAATAGTTTTAAAATATCACAATTCTAGAGTTTGATAACATTCAGGTACTTGAAAATTTAAAAGTTCGAAAAGTGATGTGACTTTTATGTATAATTTAGTATTAGCTATTCGACAAAGCTTCAGTTAAATATTAAATAGGTGAATTAGCATTTCATTATTTCAATATTAATATAAAAAGCGATGTTTTTTTTTCGAACTTAAACTTTAAACGTAAAAGTTCTAACTTTACTATTAAATATTATTGTTTATTATTATTTATTATTATTTATTATTAAATATTATGCATTGTTCTTGGATCGTTCAAATAATTTACATGGAAAGAATAAAATATTTGCATAATGTGCAACACATGGAAGTCAAAGACATAATTGAAAAGTAACATAAAAGAAACAGACATAGGAACAAAGCATAACACAGATTTTAACCTATTAGAAGCTATGTATTCTGATAGATTGAAATCTATTATTCCCTGTTCCTATTCTGTGCTTTTCAATTATGTTTCAGGCTTCAGGTTTTAATAATGCAGACAGAAAATACAATTTTTGAACAGAGCTACTCGTAACTCTGCAAGAATGACAGCGTTATTGAGCGTTCAATAATTTTTGACATCGCAGAGGTCTGTAAATAGCGACTTGCAGCGTGAATTGGCTGACCGGCTCACATATCGCGACGAAAACACAATTTAGTCGGCGCCAGAAACTTTCAGCGGTCAGGAACGGGTTGTTATTCGACGTTTTGTCACGAAAAAAGACAGCGGGGGGGGAGGAGTGGGAGGGTAGGTGGAGGCGAAACGGCGAACGAACTGTTTTGCTACCAGGAAGAAAACAGGACGTATTGAAAACGGAGTGAGAGGCGCCAAGTTGCTCCACAAATTTTCTTGAATGAAATTTCGTTCTCGAACTGTTCAAAATACGCGGAGATTCTGTCAAAGAGTTGCGTCGTGTTTCTCACAATGATTCGATCTTACTGCGGTGAGAATTACGTAATCCCTTCAGCGTATACGACCGCAATGATTCGCTTTCGATGAAATATCGTCGGAAACAAGGAGATAATAATTTCTCGCGAATCCAATTTCCGGGGTCAACCGACCAGAAGTGTCGAGATCGTGGCAAGAAATGGTTCTCTTGTCGCGCGCGAAACTGATGATTATAGCTTTTTATCTCGCAGTTACATCGATTCAGCATCTCGTTGTGGTTGGACTCGCGAGTACTTTTTTTCGCGTCTGACAGTGATAAAGGTCGTGGAAAGTAAGCTTTGCTTAGCGTTTCGAAAAATGCATGAAAGATAACATCTTTCCTAATGCAAAAAGGATAGAATCATGCAATTTTGTTTTAATTAACTTAAAAATTTTAGAACAGAAAAGAGATCAACAAATGTTTTACCTATTATTTTGAATTATTATTATTATTATTAAAATTTTATTTAATCATATTTGCTATCCTTTGTTATGAATAAAATTTTTAGTGAACTGATCTTAACATCTTTACTTTTCCGCATGTATTAGCAAACATTTCACGTTGTAATAATAAAAATTACATTTCTGCAAGCCTAATTGATTTTAATAATTGAATAGAGTAGAAAATTGAAGGAAAACTGGTCTGCTTTTCTTTGGATTACTTCGACTTTCCATCTTTTCGCTCCTTCTTTCTTTATGTACCTTTTATTAACGTTATGGTATATATTAAGAAGCTAAAGGTGAAAGCCTTAATTTTTATTCGCGACTGTAAAAACATCTGATGGATAACAAGGAGGCAAGAACATCTTTTGCCAATTATAGTATACAAACTGTATAACTTATATTATTCGCTGATGGAAAGCTAGCTGTAGGTCCAACGAGCCTCAATTATAAGCTAACGAAAAGATTTTCAAAATATTTTGTTGATACGGCATTTTGATCTCTCTGGAGAAGACACGCAGATTAAACCAGTGCGGCCGAACTAATTATTGAACCAAAGTTAAATAAAAACCAAACATTTTAACCCTATCGGGAACTTTCCGCGATTTTCAAAGTTGAACTGTGTTGTTCACAGTTGCTCTATACACATTTACTGTAC